CCAATAAATCTTGATGCTAGATCTGTCGGGATGCCGTCTTTTGACAACCATGTGAGATGTGGAATAAGAGAAATGGAGTCAGCTGTTTAGCTGAGACCTTTTGTGTACACGTGACTTCCCACACTACACTCACCCACCAAGTCCCCGAAATCCACTCTTGGTTTTGGTTCTTGGCTCTTTTCTTTTCTCTCTTTCTTTCTTTCTTTCTTTCTTTCTTTCTTTCTTTCTTTCTTTCTTTCTTTCTTTCTTTCTCTCTCTCTCTCTCTCTCTCTCTCTCTCTCTCTCTCTCTCTCTCTCTCTCTCTCTCTTTCTTTCTTTTTCTTTCTTTCTTTCTTTTTTTGACACTGTGTAGCCCAGGTTGGCCTGAAACTCTCTATGTACTCCAGACGGGTCCAACCTGAAATTCTCCTGCCTCGTCCTCTGAAGTGCTGGGATTACAGGTGTGAACCACCATACCAGGCTTACTCATTATATTCTCAAGTCTGTACTGATATTTCTTTTTTTGGAATAGAGGCCAGGATTTAATTCCAGGAACCGAAAGGGATTGTTTCTGGGAAGAGAACTGGGGTACTAGAAAGGGGAACTGACCAGTGTTTATACTTTACTACTATTTGTTTCATTTTATATAAAAATTTTACCATTTTTCTTTTGAGACAGGGTCTCACTAGGTAGCCTTGGCTGACCTGGAACTCTCTCTATAGACCAGGCTGGCCTCAGACTCATAGAGATCTTCCTGCCTCTGTCTCCTGAGTTCTGGGATTAAAGACCTGAGCCACCATACCTAGCTAAGATTTATTTTGGTTTTAATTATGTATACAGGTGCATGTGAGTGCAGTACCTGAAGAGGCCAGAAGAGAGAGTCAGATCCCCAAGAGCTGGAGTCACAGGTAGTTCTGAGCCCCTAGAGATGGACACGGGTGCTGGGAACTGAACTGCAGACTTCTGCAAGAGCTATACATGCTCTGAGCCACTGAGCCATCTTTCCATCCCCCTATTCTTTTAAGATTGGGTTTCATGGAGCCCCAGCTGGCCTTTCACAGAGATGTGGGACCTGGGTCATGACGTCGCCTTCCCTACACCTTGTACATGGCATTAAAAGTACTGAATTTGTTATAAACAGAAAAGTCTCCTGCCTGACCTATGCCTCAAACAGCCCAGAGGGAAAGAGTGGGTTGAAGGACAGAAAAAAGAGCCAGGCAGGAGGTTAGCTGTCCACACTGAGTGGTCCATGCACTGATCTTTTAAATGCATTTGGATGTCTCCATGGTAAAGTGTTGCTGGACATGGTATGCACTAAGGAGGCTGGTGTGTAAGGGCAGGTGGGGAAAGGTGCTTGTTGCCAAGCCTAATGACCCGGTACAAGCCCTAGGTCCCACACGCACACGCATGCACGCACACTTGCATGCATGCATACACAGATGAGCAGGTATGTGTGGAGGCTGGAAGAGTTTGTTGGACTCCCTAGAGCTGGAGTTAAAGGTAGTTATATGTTAATCAATGTGAATGCTGGGAGTAAAACTCAAGTCTGTTGGAACAGCTTGCAAGATCTCTCAACCCTGAGCTCTCTCTCTCCTGCCCTCTGAGCTATCTCTCTAGCCCAGGACAAAAGTTTTCACTGCTGCCAGGCTGCCAGGCGCAAAGCCACCCAGGCAGGTGGGTGGGTGGGCAGGCAGGCTGGCGATGAACAGGTTTGTGGTGGAGAAATGAGAGAGAAGGAGACATGAGAGCAATTTGTGCACTTTGGAGAGAAGCAGAACAGAAGATGCCATGGTGGTGAGGAACAGGCTGAGAAGAGTGGCCTGTGCTGTCGCCAAGGACCATGCCTGGGTCCATGGCTCTACTCCAACCAGGGTCTGTGTTGATGTCCATGGCCTGTGTTGCCACCAAAAGCCCTGCATCTGGATGCTTGAGGTCTGGGCTGCCACCTGAGGCCACTCAGGGCCATGGTCACAGCTTGAGCTGCAGCCAAGGGCCATGTCTAGGTCCATGGCCCCACTGCAACCAGGGTTGGTGTTGATGTCCGTGGCCCATGTTACCACTGAGGGCCATACAGATGCTCAAGGTCTGGGCCACCACCTGAGGCCGTGTTGATGTCTGAGAACCATGCCACCGCTGCTGGGGGCCATACTGATCCGAGTGGCCTGCACTGCCACCCAAGGCCATGGTGATGTCCAGGCCTGAGCTGCAGCCAAGGCCATATCTAGTAGGTTCGTGGTCCTACTACAGCCAGGGTCAGTGTTACCACTGGGGACCATCAGAGTGGGAGCCCCAGAGGCCTGGGCACTGGAGAGCTGGTCTGGCCCCTCACTAGCTGCCTCAGCAGGAGAGCTGCCTCCCCCAACTGGCCACAGTGTTGTGGGCACAGGAGAGCTGTCCCCAACCCTTGGTGGTCCTGGGAAAACTGAGGCTCAACACCACCGGCCTCTGCAACCGTAGAGCTGATGCTCACCATATGTTGGGGAGAACTGGCCTTGATAGCTTGGACACAGGAGAGATAGCCCTGACCCTCACCTGGGAGGGTGGTCCCAGTGGAGGCCCGGACTGACTAACTTAGCTACCACCCAGGCCCACATCCAGGGCTTTGAACTGGCCTACCCCAACATCTACCCCATCTATGATCTGCCGGAGCCCCTGAAGGAACCGGTCCTGTAGAACCATAGCCCCTGGCTCTCCATGACTAGGGGTAACAGCAGGATGTCTTTCGTGAGGCAGAAGCCAAAGGCCTTGAATCAGACCTATAGCTCACTGCAATGAACATTTGCAAGTAAAGCTGCTTGGACGAAAGTGTGACTGTGTGATACACCGCAGCTCCCAAGGCCTCTGTGACAAATGAGTATGTGATGGAGAGTGGAGCAAGATGGAGGAGTGAAGTGTTGTGTTTTGTTTTAATTATTTTTATTGTTTTTATTTTTTCCTTCTCGTTTTTGGGGAGAGAGGCTACAAAGCTGGAAGGCAGACATGGAAAAACTGGGAAATGAGTGGGATTTGAGGGTATGATGTGAAATTCCCAAAGAATCAATTAAAAAAAAAATGTTAAAAAAAAAAAAAGCCCCAGGTCCCACATCTCTGTGAAAGGAGAGAATCAACTTCCACAAGCCGTCCTCTGGCCTCCATGAGCTTGTGGTTGTAAGCTGGGGCACAGTGTAACCACCAAACTAGACCACCCCATGGGTAGAAAGAAAGGTTTACTGGAGATCAAATTGCCAAGGCTACCCCGCTCCAGGGGTGAGGAGAAAAAGCAAAATGGTGTAAAAGGGAATGGACCTTATGTGACATCAGCAGGGTAGGGTCTTTAAGGTAGCACAGGTTGTTTGGATTGACCCAGAACTAGATGCCCTTGCCCAGGGTAGTTGACCTTTGGAATGATTAAAGGAGGTTCCCGGTGGGTGGCCCCCTGGTAAACAGAAACCCACCATTAGGCATCTGTTTACCCAACATCAATCCTTGTGTTTAGGACATTGTCACCAGCACTGCCATTTTGGGACAGCACTTTGGACCTAACAGTGTTGCCGTGATAAACACACACACACACACACACACACACATCCACACACCAGCATACATCACACATAAACATGCGTATATCAGTCAGGTGTGGTGTCACAGGCCTGTCTTCCTAGAACTAAGGCAGAAGCCATCTGAACTGCATAGTGACACTCTTTCTCAAAACCTGAGAGCTGGGGACAGATGCAGTTCAGTGGCCCCTGAGCAAGGCCTTGGGTTCGATACTCAGCATGGAAAAAAAAGATTTAAAAAGTTAATAAACCTTTGTGCTGAGAAGAAATGCAGCCAGCCCCTTAGTCAAGGCAGCCTCCTGTCATGATGAGGGGTCTTGTCCTCTCCACCCAGCCAGCAGGCTCTCGGCCAGGCCCCGGCCAGCACTGTTTTTCCACAGCATGGATCAATAACCTACTGAGTAATTCATCATGAGGAGTCTGACCATCATGGCTGATGCACCTTATGACATGTAAACACCCACTCACTAATTAACCACATCATTCTTTTCCACATTTACAGAGTTTGGGGGTTTGTAGAAGATTATTTTCTTTCTTTCTTTTTTTAATGACAGGGTCTCACTACATAGCCCTGGCTGGTCTGGAACTCACTCTGTAGACCAGGCTGGTCTGGAACTCACAGAGATCCTCCTGCCTCTGCCTCGAGAGCACTGAGACTAAAGGTATGTGCAACCACACCCACACCTGATTTTTTTTGTTTTTGTTTTTCCCACCCTGAAGGTTGAACCCAGGGCCTTTTCCACGGTTCTAAAGCTCTGTACCTCTGATCTGTATCTCTAGGACTCTATTTTCAGACAGGCTCTCACTAAATTGTCCAGGCAGGCCCAGAATGTAAGATTGTCTTGCCTCAGCCTCCAGGTAGCTGGGATCCACAGCAGGCCCAGGTAAGAATTTTTAATTCATTTCCCAACACACACACACACACACACACACACACACACACACACACACACACACACACGCTGCTTATTGTGTCTACTATACAGCAAGCTCACCGTGTGCAAGAACCAGGTCCAGCCCTACTTGCTGACATTTAATAGTGTGCACGTGACTCATTCATTTGCATGGGACAGAGCTGATACACTGGTTAAAAGACGCTGTAAACAGGGTATGGTGACACGTGCCTGTAATTCCACTACTCCAGAGGTAGAGGTTCAGTGTCGTGCTTGGCTACATAGTGAGTTCAAGGACAGCATGGGCTCTACCTGAGACTCAGTTGCAGAACAGGGCTGGAGAGATGACTTGGGTTAAGAGCACTGGCTGCTCTTCCAAGAGGGTCTGAGTTCAGTGCTTAGCATCCACACAGTTGCTCACAGCCATCCAGGTCCAGGGAATCCCAATGATGCCCTCCTGGCCTCCCCAGGCACCAGGCACACAAGTGGTGGAGACATAAACACAAGCAAAAACACTCATACAAATAATAAAAATTGAAAAGTGATATTTTAAATGCTGTCTTAGTGGTGCACGCCTTTAATCCCAGCACTCCTGAAGCAGAGGCAGGCAGGTCTCTTGTGAGTTTGCCTACACAGTGAGCTCCAGGCCAGCCAGGCCTACGAAGTGAGACCCTGTCTCAAAGGAGGGAAACAATTCTGATCCAGACCTACCTGCACCTACTAGTCACTTGGCCTCTGAGAACCTCCGTTTTCTCGCCTGTGGAGGCAGAGATGCTAACTTGGCAAAGTGAAACAGTAAACTTTAGCTGATGCTTTCGCTTGGGGGGCGGTTATTTTGGTCCTCTAGAGCCTGCCTTTTCCTGTAAAGCACGGATGATTATGTCTGACATTAAAGAAGACTGGTTCAATGCGCTTAGGGGTGGAGCCTTCCACTCGGATGTCTAGCCAAAATAATAGTTGTTGCCAGATGCCAGACATCTACTGCGGATTTAGGGTCATTCCAAGTGTCGGATTGTTGCGGAATTCCTAGGACTGTCCCAGAGCCCTGGCCTAGTCTGTATCACCAGGTGGATTCACACGGTGTCCTCAGCCGGAAGGAGGTGGGGTCTTGAACTAAAGGGCTGGGACTTTAGGAAATGAGAGAGACGAGCGAGTCTCAGACAAGTCCCATCTGGGAACAACCGCATTAGGCAGGACTAGGGCTATGAGGTCCTCCAGGCCGCGGAGGGGAGCTGGTAGAGGTGCTGGTGAGCGCCGGAGGGCTCGGGTGGGGTGGCAGCTGCGGGGGATGGGGCAGGGAGGCTTGGGGACCGCAAAGCGGCGAGAGACATAGGAGGCGGCGGGTGGCTTTGGGGCTAACAGTCTCGGGGTGCGCAGGCAGCTGCCAAGCGGGCCAGCGAAGGCTGCGCGTCGCGGAGGCTTCTGGTCACTGACCTCTAACCCCTTCCCTCCTGTAGTCCCAACCAGGAGGGGCGCGGGGACCATGGGTTCCTGGGCCTCCAGGGCCCGGGTCCCCACGCGGGAGCCCGACCCCCAGGAGACGCTGGACCTGAGCCGTCTACCCCCGGAGCTGCTCCTGGTGGTGCTGAGCCACGTGCCCCCGCGTACGCTGCTGCTGCACTGCCGCCGGGTGTGCCGCGCCTGGCGCGCCCTGGTGGATGGCCAGGCCTTGTGGCTGCTAATGCTGGCCCGCGACCGCAGCGCTGCCGGCCGCGCCCTGTTGTCGCTAGCCCGCCGCTGCCTGCCCCCGACCCGCGAAGACAGGCCCTGCCCGCTGGGCCAATTCTGCGTGCGAGGACCACTAGGTCGTAACCTCATCAGCAACCCCTGCGGCCAAGGTGAGGAGGCCCGGAAGTGCTGCGAGGGCGGGGCCCCGAGAGCATCGACCAGAAGGGATGAAGGGGGGGGGCGCGCAAGATGATCGATGCGCTCACGAAAGAGAACCTATGAGAGAGGATGAGGGGCGGAGTCACGAGACAATTGATGGACGGGGTGAGGGCGTGGCCATGAGGCAACCAATGGAAAAGGATGGGGGCGGGATCACAATGGACCAAATGGGAGAGTATGCGGGGCAGGGCCACAAGAGAACTGATGGGAAGTGCCGAGGGCAGGGGCCGCGAGGGAACCTGTGAGAGGGGCAAAAGCAGAGTCACAGGATGGGCGGAGCCTAAGGGACAAGCAGGAAGAGAAGCAGGTCTTCAGATGAAGCAGGGGGAGGGGGTAGAAGTGGAGTCACACTTAACCCAGAAAGAGTGACTGGAAGGACCTGACCAACCACAAGGGAGCTTGGGAGGGAACCGAACTCCATACCCTCTACCTGAGAGACGGGGTGCTCTAGGAGCTACCGATGAGCAGTTAAGATTGCTACATAAATATTTTTTATTTGATTGGCTTTTAAACTTTTAAATGTATTTTTATTAATGTGTATGTTGGAGGTCAAAAGAAAGACAGCTCCCCTGGAATTGGAGTTACAAGGAGACTGTGGCTTGGGAGCTGGGCACAGAATTCAGGTCCTCTGGAAGAGCAGCTCCTAGCTTTTCAACTATTTTAGTAGTTTTATTATTATTGTTATTATTATTATTATTATTATTATTTGCTGGCTGGAAAGATAGCGGTTAAGAGCACCCACTGCTCTTCCAAAAGACCTGAATTCAGTTCTTTGCATTCATATGGAGGCACACAACCATCCATAACTCCAGACCCAGGAGGTCCCACCTTCTATTCTAGCCTCTGTTTTGGCCTCCGAAGGCATCGGGCATACATATGGGGCACAGACATACATTTTTAACTTTTTAAAATTATTATTGTGTGTGCAAAAGGACTCGAGTGTCATGGCACCGGTGGGTGGTGGGGTCATAGGCCAACCTTGTGCAGTCAATTCTCTTATTTTTACACAAATTCTTAATTCTTTGCAGACTGTGACCAATGGGGGGGCACTTGAATTTGACAGCAATCCCAGTGCCTCAGTTTCCCTGGTGCAGTTACCCCACTTCAGCCTTATTTTCGCTTTACAGAAGGCCTGCGCAAGTGGATGGTGCAGCATGGTGGAGATGGCTGGGTGGTGGAGAAGAACAAGAGACCTGTGCCTGGGGCCCCCTCACAGACCTGCTTCGTGACCTCCTTCAGGTGACAGCCCCACTCCCCAAAGGCCAGAGCCCTTGTTGAGAAAGGCCTGCCTGTTCTCACGACCCTCTCCCACCCTCCTAGCTGGTGTTGCAAGAAGCAGGTGGTGGACCTGGAGGAGAAGGGTCTGTGGCCAGAGCTGCTGGACAGTGGTGGTGTGGAGATTGCTGTCTCTGACTGGTGAGTGTGGTGACAGGAAAGTCCTTTGCTCAACACTGGGGACCATGGCCATGGTACACTCTTATAATCCCAGCACTTGGGTCATGGGGAATCCCAGGACAGTGTAAATGAGCTTAAGGCCAGCAAAGGCTACATAGCAACACCTTGTCTAAACAAAACAAAACAAAACGGAAAACCTGAAATATAGTGAGTTCACGTGAAACACAGCTAGGGCTTTGTAAGTGTGAAAGTGTGGCCACAGTTTTGGAACCTTGATCACACGGCCTCTCTCCCAGGGGTGAAGTGTTAACAGCCTGAGAGTCGTGTGTGTGTGTGTGTGTGTGTGTGTGTGTGTGTGTGTGTGTGTGTGTGAAGATGCCTGGAGGGCGATCTTTGATTGGTGTGTAAAATGAATGAAAAATTTTTCTTAATAAAAAAAAAAGGGGCCAGGAGGTGGTAGCGCATGCTTTTAATCCCAGCACTCGGGAGGCAGAGGCAGGCGGATCTCTGTGAGTTCGAGGCCAGCCTGGTCTACAGCGCGAGATCCAAGAAAGGCGCAAAGCTACACAGAGAAACCCTGTCTCGAAAAACCAAAAAAAAAAAAAGCAGGGTGGGGGGGAAGATGCCTGGAACAGGACCAGCTCTATGTACAGAGTTTTTATTGGGCTTCATGGAATGCCTGACCGATTGACTGCTTGCCCATGTGGTTAACCACAGCCTCCGGGTGAGGCTAACTCACAGCCCTAAATTGCATTGTGGATCTTTCTAAAGTGGCCAGCTCTTTTTTTTTTTTTTTTTGGTTTTCCGAGACAGGGTTTCTCTGTGTAGCTTTGCACCTTTTCCTGGAACTCACTTGGTAGCCCAGGCTGGCCTCGAACTCACAGAGATCCACCTGCCTCTGCCTCCCGAGTGCTGGGATTAAAGGCGTGCGCCACCACCGCCCAGCAAGTGGCCAGCTCTTACCTAAGCCTATCTGTGGGCTTGGCTAGCCCTTGTTCTCAGTCTGGTAGACTATTTGGTATGACTGGAATCTCCAACAAAGACACTCCTGGCAGACATGGCTTCGAAAAGGCCTGGTATCATCTTCCCAAGACCATTTTATTGGGGACAGAGATAAGCACAGGAACTTGGGATCAAACCTAGGGCCTCATGCTTGCCAGGAAAAGCCTCCAACACTAAGCTACACATGCCAGGTCTCTTTTTGGTCTTACTTTGAGGCACAGTCTCACCAAGTTGCCCCGGCTGGCCTTGTCCTTGCAATACTCCATGTCAGCCTCTTTAACAACTGGAATTTACTTGCCCAAGCCAGCAGGCCCATCTCATAAGATCTGGGGATCAGGGCAGATTCAGTGTGTGTGCCTATGGTGGAGGGGAGAGGTCAGCCTAGTATCATTCCTCAGAAGCAGTCCACCTGTCTGCCTCCCCAGCTCTGGGGTTAAAAGCATGTATTATTCTCCCTGGCTGTAAGCAGTTTTTGTTGGGACTGCCAGCTAGCTCCCAAATAAACATACAGAGACTTAATATTAATTATAAATGCTCAGCTGATGCTTAGGCTTGTTACTAACCAGTTCTTAAAACTAAATTAACCCATACTTCTTGTCTGAGTTCTCCCACATGGCTCATGGCTTGTTACCCCATTTTCTACAAGTCTTGCTTCCTCTGCTTCTGGCTCCAGACCCCTGAGACTCCGCCCTTCCTCTTCCCAGCATTCTCTCTGTCCTGAAATCCTTCCTAGCTATGGGCCAATCAGGTTTTTATTAACCAATAAGAGCAATACATATTTACAATGAACAACAGGATTATTCCACAGCTCCTGGCTTTTTAGCCTTTTATTTTCTTCTGAGACGGTCTCCCTGTGTAGCCCTGGCTGACCTGGAACTTTCTGAAGGCCAGGCTGGCCTCAAACTCACAGAGATCTACTTGCCTCTGCCTCCAGAAAGTTTAAATTAAAGGCATGTGCCTCCACATCCGGCAACACCCAGCTTTTCTGGGTAAGAGGGTTCAAGACAGGGTTTCCCTGTGTATCCCTGGCTGTCCTGGAACTTGCTCTGCAGACCAGGCTGGCCTTGAACTTGGAGATCCACCTGCCTCTGCCTCCCAAGTGCTGGTATTAAAGAAGTGCTGGGTTTAAGGGCATGCACCACCACCCAGCTTAACATCCAGCTCTTACATGAGTTCTGGGGTTCAAATCCAAGTCCTCATCCATGTGTGGCAAGCACTTTCCTGACTTAGCCATCTTGCCAGTCCCAGAAGACCCTTTTGAGGAACTTAATTTGTACCCACAGGAGGCCAGACACCCAAAAAGACAGGTGACACATCCAGACCTCCCCTTCCCACAGGTGGGGTGCTCGTCATGACAGTGGCTGCAGGTACCGTCTCCTTGTCCAACTTCTTGATGCTCACCAGAATGTCCTAGATAAGTTCTCGGCTGTGCCAGACCCCATTGAACAATGGAACAACAACATCTACCTGCAGGTGAGCCTCTGACTGAAGAGGAGCCTCTCACTGGGAGAGGAAAGTGGGGTGGGGACTGTGATGGTCTCAACACCCCCAACTCTCTGTCTTTGTTTTTGTTTTAAGATTTATTTATTTATTATGTATACAGCATGTATGATCAAAAGAGGGCACCAGATCTCATTACAGATGGTTGTGAGCCACCATGTGGTTGCTGGGAATTGAACTCAGGACCTCTGGAAGAGCAGTCAGTGCTCTTAACCTCTGAGCCATCTCTCCAGCCCTCTGCTCTTTGTTTTTTAGTGTGTGTGTGTGTGTGTGTGTGTGTGTGTGTGTGTGTGTGTGTGTGTGTGTGTGGTGGGGGGGGACTGTACCTGTCCATGTCCATGTGTATGTGGAAGGCAGAGAGATTAATGTCATATGTCTTTCCATCACCCTTCGCCTTCATTTTTGAGACAGTATCTCTCACTGAACAAGGAGCTCATTGATTGGCTAGACTGATCTGCCGGTGAGTTGTGAGGCTCCACCTGTCTGCCCCCAGCACTAGAGTTACAGATGTACCACCACTGCCAGCTTGTATGTGGGTGCTGGGGATCCGAACTCAGGTCCATTATACTTGTGTGCAGGACTTTTATCAGCTGAGCTGTTTCCCTAGCCCTGCCCTGTCATGTCTTCTGAATCGGCGTGAAGAAAACTGGACTGGGCAATTCCAGCTGGAGTCTCTCCTCTTCTAAAAATCTCATTCAGATCGTGGCAGGAGCTGAAGGGCAGGCTGGGTAGTGGTGGGTGACCATGACAAGTGGCAGTCTGCCGACTCTGGAGCAGCCGTGATGTGAAGAATCACTGTTGATTTAGTTTCAAATTTCCTCCATGAGGTCTCTGGTCCAGTCTACACTGAGATTCCTCACATCATGGCCGCCCCAGGGCAGGCAGACTTTTCCATAGTGGTCAGGAGTCAGGGGCCAAGAGATGTAAGATTTAGCTGCTCTGCCTGTCCTGACCGAGCTTGGGAGGTTACTCAGTGAGACTGCTCAGGCTCATTTCTGCTGCTTTTTTTTCTTTTGAGACAAGGTCTCGTGTAGCTCACGCTGGTCTCATACTCACCTTGAGCTCCTTCATCTCCCAGATGCTGGCAATAATTGCAGATGTGCACAGCCACACTCAGAATCTCTGCCACATTCTTGCCGATAACCTCTATTATTTGGTTGGGTTTTTGTTTGTTTCTTTTTGAGACAGTTTCTTACTATATAACTACGCAGCCTAGACTGTCCTCTCTGACTTTCCATCCTCCTGCCTCAGTCACCCAACCCGTGATGACAGGGGCTTGTCGCTACACCTAGAGAACATGGCAAGATTTCAGAAGAAGAAGGGACGTAGGCAGTGACGTGGCCGCTGTCCTGGTAAGCACTGTCTGACGGGGGCTATGACACAAGACTGTCTCCTTCTACCTCCAGGTCACCCACGTGTTCTCCAACATCAGGAGAGGTGTCCGTTTTGTGTCTTTTGAACACTGGGGCCAGGACACACAGTTCTGGGCTGGCCACTATGGGGCCAGAGTGACCAACTCCAGTGTGATCGTGCAAGTCTGTCAGCCCTAGTCAAAGGCCTCCATCTTGGTAAGACAGCCTGACTGTGCCTTCCAGGAGCTGGGGCTGTTGACTGGAATTCTTCATGAATCAAGCATTCATACCTTCCTGGAACATGAAGCTCTAGGATCCAGTGGAGGGTCCTGCTTGGCCTTGTTTGCAGAGTCTTGAACACTGGACTCCTCCATCAGATCTGCCCATTGCTGCTGCTTGGGTAGAGCGAGGGTGCCCGGGTGCCCGGGTGCCCGGGTGCCTGACTGCATGCTCGTCTCAGAGAGGTCACAAGCTGCCTCTGTTTCAGCGTGATCCCTCACTGCCTGTCCTCAGTATTGATCCCCCAGCCTTTTTTAAGACAAGGTCTCATGTATCCAGTGGCTAAAAGCAAAAGGTAGCTTTAGACTCCTGACTTCGCCACCCAGGTGCTGGGATTACAGGCATGCACCAACACCACCCAGGTCTGTGGGGTGCTGGGATGAGTCCAGCACTCAGCAAGCCAGGCACACGTTTTACCAGTTAAGCAGCGTCCCCAGCATTGTCTTCCTATCACCTCCTGTTTCCGCCTCAGGGACTAGCTTTGTCCCTTTACTGAAGAGCTCCTACTCCCGTGTGAACCAAGCTTACATGGCTACACCCAGGTCTCCTCATTGAAGGGTGTGTCTGCCCACAGATTTTCTCCAAACAATGAGGAAATGCCTACAGCCCCGGCCCTGATCCTCAGGAACCTCTGAATTGTGTAGTATTTAAAGTTATTTATCATTTTCTCAACAGAGAGAGAATAATAATATACTGGCAATATCTGTCTGCCAATTGCACTGTAATAAATTATTTTGCCTAAACTGGTTCATATCTTTTTCTTTGTTTGTTTTATTGTTATTGTGTCTTTGAGACAGGTTCTCACTATGTAGCCCTGGCTAACCTGAAACTCACTGTGTCGATCAGGCTGGCCTCAACTGCCTCCACCTAGCTCTGCTTCTACCCCAGCCAAATGCTCGTGTGTGTGTGTGTGTGTGTGTGTGTGTGTGTGTGTGTGTGTGTGTGTGTGGTGTGTATGTATGTGTATGTGTGTATGTGTGTGTGAATGTGTGTGTGTCTCTGTGTGTGTGTGTGTGTACATGCTTTCTGTGCTTGGCGATGGTGCATGATTGCCCCTGCAGAGTACAACTTGAGGGAGTCCGTTCTTTCACAATATAGACCCCAGGGACCCAACTCAGGCCCTCTGGCTGGATGGCACACACCTTTACCCACTGAGCTATCTTAGCAGTTGTGAGCCGCCATATGGGTGCTCTGGAAGAGCAGCCAGTGCTCTTTACCTCTGATCCATCTCTCCAACCCCAGATTTCTTCTTTTTTTTTTTTTGGTTTTTCGAGACAGGGTTTCTTTGTGTAGCTTTGCGCCTCTCCTGGAACTCACTTGGTAGCCCAGGCTGGCCTCGAACTCACAAAGATCCGCCTGGCTCTGCCTCCCGAGTGCTGGGATTAAAGGCATGTGCCACAACCGCCCGGCCAACCCCAGATTTCTTACAGAAGTTGTTAATGCCACAGACAGACAGCAGCCTGATGGGGGCTCTGAGGACAGTTCAGGCCTGCATGGCTAACTTTGGCTTCCTTCTTCTGGGTTTCAGAGGAAAGGGGAAGTTCTGGACCTTGTAATTGATCCTGGGTTGTCAGTCAGGCTCTCTCTACATCAGCTGTGAGGTGGGTCAGGAGAGAATCTGGAAGAACGAGTTACCTTAGTTCTAGAAGCCAAACTATTATAGCTTCAGGAGCTGTCAAACTTCAACCAAATGAAGAGGCTTTACAGAATACCTACCTTTTGTAAGAGGTCACAAGGAAAGGTCACCACCGAACCAGATCACTCCATGTTTATTGGAGAGCAAACTGCCAAGGCTGTTTCCCCCCAGGTGGGGTGGCAGAGGTGGGAAAGCGAGGGTGGGATCTCTGAGTTGATACCGGCCCTTCTACATTGACCCAGAACTGGATGCCCTTGCCTTGGGCAGACCTTTGAGGGCAGGCAGAGTAAGGGAGGTCCTGGTAAACCCATCTTTAGGCTTTCTTTACTCAATCATAATCCCCCTGTTTACTAGTCAGAGTCCTTCTGTTCAGGACTTTGTCACCAGCACTGCCATTTTGGGGGGCCTGCTGTGGACCTTGCATGCCTAACAGTGGTCAGGTCCACAGTCTGTAGGGAGATGACTATAGTCTACAGCCCAGGGCACCGGGTCGCTGAGTTGTGACATCGGTACATTAAAATCAATGCATTTTGAATTACATTTTAGAATACTATGGGTTACAGGGACAGTGAGGCTGTGGAGAAAGCCTCATCACAATATTTGAAGAGTACGTGTTTTGGAGATTGTGGCTGAGGCAGCACCCACCCAAAAATTCAGGTGAGGTGGGATCTGCAGGAGCCCTGAGCACCACAGAGGGGAAGAGCATTTAGAGAACATAATCCCAGCATTTAGAGACAGGAGAATGAGAACTAAGGTCATGCTTGAGAGTTTGGGGCTAGTCTGCTCTACGTGAAACCCTGCTTCAAAAACAAAGATCTGAGGCCGGGCGGTGGTGGCACACGCCTTTAATCCCAGCACTCGGGAGGCAGAGGCAGGCGGATCTCTGTGAGTTCGAGGCCAGTCAGGTCTACAAAGTGAGTTCCAGGAAAGGCGCAAAACTACAGAGAAACCCTGTTTTGAAAAAAAACAAAAAAACAACAAAAAACAAACAAACAAACAAACAAAAAACAAAGATCTGAAACATATCAAAAAGGTTTCAGCCGGGCGGTGGTGGTGCACGCCTTTAATCCCAGCACTCGGGAGGCAGAGCCAGGCGGATCTCTGTGAGTTCGAGGCCAGCCTGGACTACCAAGTGAGTTCCAGGAAAGGCGCAAAGCTACACAGAGAAACCCTGTCTCGAAAAACCAAAAAAAAAAAAGAGTTTCACTCAGGACCCACGGTTCCTACCACCCAGCATGAGAGGGTATTGATCTCTAGTTGTTAGAAATAAGTTTGGGGTCACAAAGTAAAAGAGCACATCTCCAACTGAAGTGGCTGGACAAGGCAACCTTCACTCTACCAAGAGTGTGCTCCGAAGGTCGACACACAGGAAATACATCTGGTTTTTATTCTAATCCGGGTGGGTGGCTGTGTCTTTTCCCCATTGGCTGAGTCCCACTCACAGTCTTAGTTCAATTGGCTAGTCTGCAAAGAATCAGTGTGCAGAAAACGATGGAAAAGGCATCACTGCCCCAAGGAGAAAGGGGTCACCTGACTGTGGTGGTACTTTATTTGTGCTTTAATAAGTAAAGCTTGCCTGGAGGTCAGAGGAAAGAGCAAGCCATTTAAGTAAACAAAGAAGTTGACAATGGTAGCACACGCCCTTAATCCTATCACTTAGCAGACGGGATCTCTGTGTGTTCAAGGCCACACTGGAAACAGAGCCAGGTGTGGTGGCACATGCCTTAATTCCAACACTAGTTAACCATGGAGGTCTGGAGGTCTGTACAGACAGGCAGGAAGTGACAGAGCTGGGCAGGAAGAGTTATGTAGCTGGACAGAGAGGGCAAATCAGATGGCAGAACAGCAAGGCATATAGGTGTGGGTAGACAGGAAGTAACGCGCATTTGGAAGCTGAGGAGTTGGTGAGGTGAGGTTGGCTGTGGCTTTCCCTATTTCCCTGATCTCTAAGGCCTTCACTATATATTTTATTTAATGAGACCATTTAGAAATTCATCTACACCTGACCATCAGATCCCTGGAATGCAGCAGTGAGCTTTTGTGTAAACAACGGTTTCCCTGGGTGGCAGGATTAAAATATTAGCATAAAAGTCTTACAAGGTGTTGGGGCACATTTTTGAATTCCTTATCCTAAACACAAGTTCTATAGTACTTGATAGAAAAGACTGGTATTTGATATTTCTTACATTGTGACCCAGGAAACAATAAAAAAAATAACCATTCCAAGCATAGGCTGGGCATGGTGGCACACACAGGCCTTTAATCCTAGTATGTGAGAGACAGACAGATGGATCTCTGAGTTTCAGGTCCGCCAAGGCTACATACTGAGACCCTGTCACAAATAACAAAAAATATTTTTTAAATCCAAATTTGACTTCTACTAAATGCATATTCTTTTCCCATCATCATCAAGTCAGACTGAGGTTGGCAAGCATAGGGAATAGCTTAGAGACCTAGGACTCTACCTGGCCTGAACACACACTCTTCTTTTTCTAATGATCTATTTGGGAGCCTGTCTCCTTTACCTGCATGTACTATGCTCACATACCTGTCTCCAAAAATGTAGCTAGCTGTTTTGGACTCCGACCTGCATCCGGCTACATGAAAACCCTGCTGAAAAATGAGATAAGTTCTCCCCTAACCATCAAATCTAGTCAAATTTTATTCAGTTTACTCTCATTATGTTTGGGTAGAAGAATGGAAAAGTTGGTCCAGCCTGAACTAGTTTTGAGTGTTTGTGAAATAAGACAAACCTTGACCTCAGGTAAACTCTTAGAATATCTTATTTACCTTATTGGACATGCAGAGGTCAGAGCACAATTCTGAGTTGGTTTGCTGTAGAACACTTGACTAGAATTCTTCAGTGAGGGCCTGGGGTGTGGCTCAGTGGTAGAGCCTCTCCCTAGACTGCCCCAGTGAGGGGCTGGAGTGTGACTCAGTGGTAGAGCATCTGCCTAGAATCCCCCAGTGAGGGGCTGGGGCGTGGCTCAGTGGTAGAGCCCCTGCCTAGAATCCCCCAGTGAGGGGATGGGGCATGGCTCAGTGGTAGAGACCCTGCCTAGAATCCCCCAGTGAGGGACTGAGTTGTGACTCAGTGGTAGAGCCCCTGCCTAGAATCCCCCAGTGAGGGGCTGGGGTGTGACTCAGTGGTAGAGCCCCTGCCTAGAATCCCCCAGTGAGGGACTGGGGTGTGGCTCAGTGGTAGAGCCCCTGCCTAGAATCCCCCAGTGAGGGGCTGGGGCGTGGCTCAGTGGTCCCTAGGTTCAATCCCTAGCATTGGTGTGGGGAGTGAACCCTGATTAACTATGGCCTTTGTTGATAATGGTGTGTCAGTGGGTGAAAGGATAACGGCACTGGTTGTTCGGTGGGAGAGTCACAAACCATGGTTACCAGAGTTAGCATGGGCTTTATTAGAGAGAAGAGGGGATAGATTGATGAAGCCAGGCCTGGCAGAGAGAGAGAGAGAGAGGTGGGGGGATGGACATGGCGCCCCCTTATAAAGGCCAGGACGCAACTGTTCTCACAGGTCCACATGCAGAGATCACTCGGTCATGTCAGAGTGACTACGTGACTTCGTAACCATGGGACATGGGTCAGGCAGGACATATGACCTGGAAATGACTAGGGGGAGATGACTAAGTGTCCTGCTGGGCATGCAGGACCATGGGGCGTGGTTGGAATTCCTATCTGTGTGAGCCCAATAACTGCACTAAATGCAGCATCCTGGTGAGACATACTGATAATGGGGACAGTTACTGGTGTGGCAGCAGGGGTAGGTGGAAACTTAGGACAAACCCGAAACTGCTCTAAAACAATGAAGTCTAACACACAACATTAGAGTGAAGATCAACACAGGCAAAGTACTTTTCCAGACAAAAACAGAAAGTGCACGCAAGGGCCAGGAGAACAAGCGTCCTGGGAGGGGAAGGGTCGGGCGCCTGATTTTACCTGACTCATTAGCTAGCTCCATATTGCTCCTCAAAACTCCCAAAGTGGGGGGCTGGAGAGATGGCTCAGTGCTTAAGAGCATTGGCTGCTCTTCCTGAGGTCCTGAGTTCAATTCCCAGCAACCACATGGTGGCTCACAACCATCTGTAATGAGATCTGGTGCCCTC